TATTTAATAAATCAAACATAGAATAAAAAAAATTATCGTTTTAAAAAGCTTAAAAAATCTGATAAAACATTAAAGAAATGGAAATCCATAATAAAAAAAGTTTCAAAATTTATTTTTATGAACAAAATTTATTTTTAATGTATTTTTTAAATTTTTTTAATGTATTTTTTAATGTATTTGTGAATGAATTTATTAATATATTTTTTAATTTTTTTAAATGTATTTTTTAAATTTTTTCAAATGTATTTTTTAATTTTTTTAATGTATTTTTTAATTTTTTTAAAATGTATTGTTTATATTTATTTTTAATGTATTTATTATATTTATTTTATTGTTCTTAAATTTTATTAAAATCTATTTTTTAATTTTTTTTTATTAATATTGCAAATATTAACGTTAGGTATTTATTTTATTTATAATGTGTATTTATAATGTTTTTCTCCCAGTGCAGAGTCTTTAATGTCCCACTTTCTCTATCCCAGAGCAAGCGAGATGGCCTGCATTTGCGGAAGCAAGATGGAGCAAACATTCAGTCGGCCATTCATTCATTCATTTTCGCATTTCACTGGCTCTCACATTTCTTTCTCCAAATTGTTAAAATGGAGCATGCAAAATAATTGCGTGCACCCCATGCTGCAACACCACCAGCCCACAGCTCTACGCCGCCCCATCCCCCCCCTTTTTGCACACCCCGCCACTTTATGCAACATTTTGCCAGGCATATAATATTTTGCTCTTAATTCGTTAGCCAAGTTCCTGGCAGCACTTTAAAATTGCAATTGATGCTGGGAGCTGCTTTTACCATTTTGGGTACCATTTTTACCATTGCCAGTGTTGCCAGCTAGGGTTGTAGGAAAATCTATTTCAAATATTGAGAATAAATTTAGAAAATAAATTTATCATTCTGATATATTAAGGAGCTTAATTAGAGCTTCTAGTACATAACCTGTTTCTATTTCTAAAAATAAAAAATCGTAAAAAAAAACCCAGATGGCTACACTGCTCGCTTTTCATGCAGATGATGGCAACTTTTTTTGATAGGTTCCAGCAAAAATTACAAAACCTTACAACCTTTTTAGTAAAAATACCTCCACTTTGCATAGAATTTTCTTGCTTCCAACCTTCAAAGACATCTCAAAAAGTCAACTTGGCAACCCTGAAACTTTGTTCATTAGAGGGTAAGAGAGAAAGAAATGCGTATTTGATTATCTTTCGGACTTTGGACTTTGGACCAACAAAGCAATACAAATGGATGCCACAAATATGCATTTTGCAGGCCAAAATTGTGCATTTGCCCGATGGAGGAGAATATTGCACCAGATCTAGGGGTAATGTGAGTGTTTTTTTTTCGGGGGTCATCAGGCTTCTGAAAGGCAGAAAAAAAAGAAAATATATAGTATAGTCACAGATGCCGATTTGGACTTGACTTGAACTCTCGACTATTGCAATGCAAGTGCAGTTGCATTCGATTAAGTCTTGTTTGCCAAAGGAGCCACATACTCGGTTACACAATATCACACACACACAGAGCACTCAAAGGCGTGTGTGTGGTCTTCTTTTATTTTTTTTATTTTGTGGTTTTGTGTTTTGGGTACATTAGAATTCGATTTTCTTGTTGATTGCATTTCTTTGGGTGTCATTCCTGAATATGGGGCTTCTTTTTTCTCTTTATTTTCAAAGAAATTCTCTTGTTTAAAATTGCTTGTGCATAGCAGGCAATGCGTGGGAGAAAAAGCGGCCTTCAGAAGGTTGTTTAATTTGTTTTATCATTAATATATATCAGCATCAATTATTAATACCTAATCCCTAAGCCGAACTGAGCAATCTGAGCACACAAGTGAGCACACCAACATTGGTGAAATTTATGTTCAAAATAATACACCAACAACTTTTGCAATGTAACATATAATATATTTATTTTCTAAATATTATATATGAAATTCCGCTAATGAGTATACAAAAGCACCAGGAAATACACCAATTAAGACAAAATACAACAATTCAACAACAACAATACAACAACAACAATACAATGTATGTAAAACACCAACCAATGTGTAAATTATTAAAGAAAACCTATAGTTTCTCAACAAAGAATTATAGAAAAATGGGATAAATAAAAAAAAATCTTTTTAAATTGTAAACAGAGAGATCTACTTAAAAAAAAAACTCTTAATATTTTAAGCAATTAAAACGCTCAGAACAAAAAAAAAAAGCTTAAATGGATTTCTGTAGTTTTTTAACAAAACAAAAACCTGTTAAGCAGCTCACACATTTATCCAACTTAAGGCTTGACTTTAATTTAATAACATTTCCAAAGAGGCACAGATAGCAAAGTCCGTATGTTATTTAATTGAATTTATTTGAAAACTTTGAGAGAACCATAATTGATGATATTTATCCCACAGGTAGTAGCATTGCTATATAGGCCATACAATTTCCGATTTGGTAGGACATTAATGGGAGGACTGCTGCTGCTTGCTCCTCCTCGGTTGAGTCCCATAAAAGATAACAGTGCCACACACACAAACACACACAATCCTTGAGGATAACCTAACCTTTGTGCCTTCTGTCCCGAGTCCCGAGTCCCTTGTACTGTGTGTCCTGTGTCCGCTTGGCTCTGCAGTCCTTTAGTCGTTTTGTGCGTCCTTTGGCATGGCCATTGAGCTGGGGCAGCCTTAACCCGCATCGAGCGGAGGCTGTCAGTAATGACCCACTTGTGTTGTTCCCCCTTCAACTGGCCCCTGCTCGCTTTCCCTTTCCTGCTTAGTATCCCCTATTCTGTTGCCTTTCCCCAGCCTTCCCCTCCTGTGTTTTAGTGCATTCAAATGCTCACTCATCAAAATCAAAAGTCAAATTGTCTGTCTAAGCCAAAGAGGAGGCATCCCATAAACAGGCGGTGTTGCCAACTTGGCTGCTTTTGGGCTAAAAGCTGGTAATTTTGGGTTAATTTGGAGGCTTAAATCTGGTTATTTATAGAATTTTTTAGATGTTGGGTGTAAAATATATATTTTTTTATGATAAAACCTGGTTTTTAGAGTAATTCTAGGGGGTTTCCTGATTAAAATATATATTTTTCTAATTTACCATATTTTTTAAAATAAAAATTGGCTCTTTGGGTTAATATTAAGGCTTAAATCTAATTATTTATAGGATTTTTAAGTTGGTGGGTGTTACATATATATATATATGAATTTTTTTTTCTTGGAAAATATTTATATATATTAAAAACTCGAAGCAAGAACTCTAGCTAGCAGATCTAGAATTCAACCTAAATTAAAAATTCTTAAACCTTCTACTCCCTTGACAATGCATCCTTTCTTCTTATAAAATTTAAAAAACTAAGATCTCCCAAGATTCCAAACTCAAATTCTCCTACAATTTCCTAACCAGAATTTCCCTAAACTCCATTGATCAGGACTTTTTCTTTATAAATTTCACCAGAAAACATCACTGTTTCTTGGCCAGATTCTGATATGCCCAGAATGATGTGACTCTCTCCCTTGTGCAATTGCTATTAAGTTCACTTTACGTCCAAAAGTCAAAGCCAAAGTACCGGGAAGGTTACGGTTACGGGTGTACCGGCTGCTATTTATTTTCATTTTCGTGCATTTATGGCTTTATCTTTTACCCTCCCCCCTACTGACACTTTGTCGTTTTTATCGTTTCAGCGTTAATTCGGTTAAGCACTTAAAGCAGCGCCAGCCTGGTGGACTGGACCGCATGGACTTGGACCACACCACTCCTGGCGGCGCCTGCCTGGTCAGCTCGGGAAAACAACTACAACTCCAACAAAAAATGCTGGCCCTACGAGGACAAATAACGTGGCTGAAGCAGCAGCAGAAGGAGCAGTCACCTGCCTAGAAGTTCGATTCAAGGCGGCAATTCCGGGGGACACTTTTGGATCCCCATTAGCTAGCAAAGAGAGAGAGACAGAGAGCGAGAGTCATGTCCAGCAGTCACTCTGGCACAATTGGCCGTAAACGCGGCGGCAGTGCTGCCGGCAGTGAGTACTACTACTCCTCGTCCGGCGGTATTGGAGGAGCGGGAATCGGTTCCGGCTCCATAGGCGGCGGCGGTGGAGGTGGCGGCGAGCAGCTGCGACGCCAGCGTTCAGCGGAATGGCACAGTCATCGACACGGTCACGGTCATGGGCTGGGCCATGGCCTCAGTCACGGTTTGGGCCATGGCTATGGCAGCAGCAGCGAGGATGAGTACCAGAACACCGGGCAGGCGACGGCGTTTGATACCCAGCTGCTGGCACAGCTTCTCCTGCAGAGTCAGCAATTGGCAAGTAAGTACTGGAAGCTTTACAAAAAGTAACCTTTTTAAGGGAATTTTGAAATGAGATTTTTATTTTTTTTTTTTTAGATTTTTTTAATCTTTTATTTTGAATATTTTTTGTATATATTTTTTTTAATAATTTTTTTTTATATATTTTTTTATATATTTTTTTATATATTTTTTTATATAATTTTTTTATAGATTTTTAATTTAATAAAAAGATTTTTCATCAAATTTTTTTTATCGATTTATCGGGGATTTTTCTTATATTTTATTTACATTTTTTATTAACCCTAGACGGTCATGCTTCGTCGATTCGACGACGCAAAATCACAAAAGATCGAAAAATGGAATAAAGGTCGTTTTTTATTTTTAGTTTTTAAGTATATTCTTAATATGAGAATGAATTATTATTTCTAATTTTGAACAGTTAAAATGTTGAATTAAACGATGTAAAATTTTTTTTTACAATATTTGTTTGTTTTTTAACAATTATACTTATTTTAAAATTGGCGTCGTCGATTCGACGAAGCATAACCTGAACGTAGGAAAAATAAGCATGACCGTCTAGGGTTAAGATCTTATGATTTTTTATAGGTTTTTTAAAGCTTTTTCATAGATTTTTTTTAAGATTTTATTTATTTACATTTTTATCTTTCTCTTTTTATCGATCAGTCATTGAATTTCCATAGTTTTCATGTAATTTATTTACAAAATTTACTTTTTCAATTATTTATTAAACCTCCAGAAAGAAAGGGAAACCAAATATTATAAAGAAGACTTAAATCCAGATGCCAGGCTGCACGGGTCCCATCAACAGATGGTGTAGAATATAGCTAAAAAATTAATATCTATTTAAAATAGCATACATCAAGTATTATATTAGTACTTACATGTTTACAAAGTGTGTAAATCGAATCAATGCATTTACAAATTTACATAAACGTAACGATTTAACCAGTCTGAAAGAAGATAATTTATTATGTTTTTATATATAATATTCTATGCTTACGTTTTTGCCACCATTAGAGAATATTAACAACAATTAGACGCAACGAAATAATAATTCAGTATATTGTAGTGTACGCGCTCTGCAACTAGGTAAAAATAGTGATTTATTAAAAAGAAATCAATTAAAATTTAGACTTTTTCTCTTACCACCCAGCCTATTTCCAGTTCCAAAAATATTTATTCGTTTAGCGCAGCCTTAAATCAAAATTAACGCAACGACAATTCAACACAATCCACACAATTACATCTACAACAAAATTTTGTTATTACAAAAAAATTGCATTTTTTTGTTTCACTATTTTTCTTTACCTTTTTCACTGAGAATTTTGATCATTTTTGGAACATTTTTAAGCCGAAATAGAAGTTGTTGTGCCCCAGACGAGCTCTGGCTGCAAACTGAATGTATTCAGGCTGGGGCCTATAGGCTTGCCCAGTGACAGGAGCGTTTGTTCGATGTCAAGGATAATGTGATCTAAATTTTTAAGAATTTTTCTAGATATTTTTGAAATTTAATCTCAGGAGGCTATGATTACAGACAAGACCTAAGAATCAAAGTTGGCATGGAATTTGATTTGATATTTCAATGGTTTTTTATTTTAATTAAATATTTTTAATTTTAATTTTTTAAAAATTAATAAACGTTAATTTTTTTTTATCTTAGAAAAAAATTGTATAAATTGGTTATTAAGTATTTCATAGATTTTTTTTATTGATTTGTCTTTAATTTTCCAAAACATTTTTTATAAATTTTTCATTAATTCTTCTCTTTCATTTTATTAATTTTCTAAAATTTTAAATTTTTTTATATAGATTGTTAAATTAAAATGTTGCAGATTTTTCGTAAATTTATACATTTTTCATAAATTCTTCTCGTTTATTTTTTATACATTTTCTAAAATTTTAAATTTTTTATATAAATTTTTTAATTAAATTTTGGTCTAGTTTTTTTTATAAATATGTCTTACATTTTACTCCATCACGTTTCTATAGCTTTCTTATAGTTTTTGTATTTTTTTTATAAACATTTTTCATAAATTATTTATAAATTATTCATAAATTATTCACAAATTTGTAATAATATTTTTTATTATTTTTTTTTTATTTTAATAATTTTTTTTAAATATTTTTAATGGATTTTTAAAAGTTTGGCTATTTAATTTTGATTTATAAAATAAATTTCCAATCTCCCAGTGTAGTCCACATTTATTGTGAAGGGTTTCCTTTTATATTTAGATCGGATATTAAGGGGGCGACGTGCGGTGTGTGGCGGTCAAATGCGATTTGCCAGTTGGCCAAAGCCAGTAAATATTCATTATTTTATTTAATTGAATTATTCAACAACTGCCGCAACTGTGTCCAGGCAGGATGTTGGGGTAACCAACTATCCTGGCTTATCCTGGACACAAATCGATACCAATTGCGGGCCATTGAAATGGAGAAGGCCAAGACGTGATGATGATGATGATGAGGGGGCACACTCCTGACAGTCCTCTGATTGAATTGAGTAAATTGCTATGCTATCTAACAGTGGATTTTGGCCATTAGGATTAAAAACATATATTTTTTAGGTTTAATATTTAATTCGAGATTTTTTTCCAAAGAAATCTACTTTGAAGAATTTTTAAACATTTTTTTTAATTTGTTTGGTGAAATAACCCCATATCTTTTTTTGGGGAATCCCCACTGTGCTCACAAATCTCCGGTGGGCAGCACCGCGAACGTCAGCAGTGCGCAAATTCAATTACAATCAAGTTGGCAGCACTGGCCTAATGGCCGATACAATGGCACATCCTCCCAACATTATGCCATGCCCCGCCCTCCGCCCCCCATCGACTCCCCCGGAGCGAACTTAATCGAAGCATAAAACGCAAATCGCAGCGGCTACCGAGGCGAACGAACGCGCGCCTCCTTTAACAGGCCGGGCCTGCATTTGTTTCGGCCCATTTTATTGTCTGTTAATATTTAATGCAATTTACGATTCATTTTTTACAACCTAATAACGCTCGGACGAACGCGACGACGACCAACTCCAATGGACGTCTCGCAAATTGTTTGCCCGGCCGTTAAGTCTCGCGGGAAAATTGAAAAGCCAAGAGCAGGCAGGCAGGCATTCCGCTGCGGAAAAACAAATAGCGACTGGGAGAACTGCGTCAGGCGGGCAGGGAAATTTTGTAAACTGTGTTAAACTGTAGAGTCCAACTTAAATTGTACATGTGGAGCATATGGAAAGATTTTATCTTTATAGGATATATAGGCTTTTATGGTTTATTTTTTTTCAAAGATTTCTTTTTTTCACTATATACCAAATTTTAGAGAAAATATATCAAGCACATTACAGCTTCTCAAGAGACTTAAGTTACTCTGGAAAAATCTTGCTTATATTTTTTTTACATTTTAAAGTCGCTTAAAATTAAAGTTCCCTTTTAAAATCTTATATTTTTTATGTTGTTCAAATCTAAAGCATACTTTTTCGCCTTTTTCAGTTGATTTTAAATCTTGTTTTCTTATGGTTTCTTATATTTTAAATAAAGGACTTTAAATATTTATATTTTATATTTTATTTATTAATAATTTAAAATAAAAATTCCTGCCAAAAGTATGCTATGATATTTGAAATAAAGGAATTTAAAAACTAACATTTTTTTTAGTCCTTCCAAAAGTATGCTATGATATTTTAAATTTTCTTTTATGATAAGATTAGGGGTTTTGTAGCATACTTTTAGACACCCTAAAATGTAGATTTGATTTTTTGTATTTTTATTAATTTTCCTTAATTTTCTGTTATTTTAGTGGGCTTAAAAAATCCAGACAAAAATGTTGTAATATATAATTATTTCATATTGTAAAAATTGTTTAAAAAATGATTTAAGATACTTTTTTAAAATTTAACTTAAATTCTTTTAAATTTAAATCCGATCTTTGCTTCATCTTCCCTCCCCCAGGCATGGAACACTATAATTCTGACTGCGAACCGGATTATCTACGTCATCGCGATCGCCATGTCCTGGAGAATACGTCACCCGGCGATATCCCACCGGTAGCACCGGCCACTGTCAACGTTCCCGTTGCCATAACACCCGCACCCGCACCCGAGGTGACCTACGCCCAGCCGCACCAGCAACGCTCATCGATGGGCGGCGGCTCGCCCATGAAACTGGTGTCCACCGTCTCGGCGGGCAAGTATCAGACCAATGCAAATCTGGGCCTCTTTCCGAACAGCAGCAGCAGCGGCAGTAGTGTCCAGAATGGACCAGGAGGTGCCGCCAGTGTCGCTGCCGTTGCCTCGCCGCGCAGTACAAATCCCTTTCTGAGCTCCAAATTTTCCGGCGAGGATAATGCCCTTGATAATGTTTTGCTGCCGGCATCGGCTTCATCTTCGACAGCAGCGTCCAGCAATCGCAGTCATAGGAGTGGCGGTGGAGCAGCAAGAAGTACATTGAATCGTCTCAGCGGAATGACCAGTTCCAGCAGCGATTCCCAACATCATCATCAACAGCAGCAGCTCTCCCAGATAACCGCTGTGAAGCAGCTGCTCCAGCCGGAGGATAGCGGCGATGAGTTTGTCCTGGGGCGTGGTGGAAATTGTAGCAACAGCAGCGGAAGGGAATCGGAGGAGCCACCGCCGGAACCGGCGCCGCCAGAGATTCCGCCGCGCACACAATCGCTGCTGATGTCCCTCCGAAAGCATTCCGACTACAAGCTCAAGTACGAGGAGAAGGGCGACCAGAAGCATGAGGAGTTTATCCCCACCAGCCAGCTGCAGAAGGGTAAGTGTCCTACTTAGATTTAGATTTTTATTTTTTAAAATTTGTGAAATTAAATATGGAATTATAGAAATATAAATTTATATTTAAGGTAAATATTTTCCATTTCCACCTTAGTTTTTTCATGTATTTTTTATTAATTCATAGATTTAATTTATAAAATTTAATATTTTTTATTTTTTTAATTTATGGGAAATGAAAATTTGTTATTTTTTTATTTATTGTAAATTTTAGAAAATGAAAATTTGTTTATTTATTTATTTTTTTTATCTAATTTTAACTTATAACATTTTTTTTATTATTCATTTTTTTTTTTTAATATTAGTATTACATTTTTATTATATTTATTATTATTTATAAATATGAAGCCATAGATTTATTCATAGATTTTATTTATAATTTTTTTTTTTTTAATTTTTTAAAAGTTTAGGAAGTAAATATTTGTTTATTTATTTATTTTTTTTTTACAATTTTAACTTATTTTTCAAACATTTTTTATACACTTTTCATAGATTCTTGGTTTATTTTAATAGACTTTCTAAAATCTTAAAGTTCTAGATAGATTTTTAAATTAATTTTTTTTCCATTGATTTTGGGTATTTCATTTAATTTTTATAAATTTTGTCATAAAATTTTACATTGTTTTTTTTTATTTTTATAGATTTGTCTTTAATTTTTCAAACATTTTTTATACAGTTTTTATTAAATTAAAATATTAAACATTAATTTCTTCACAAATCTAAATTTATTTGCAATTGGGAAATATTTTCTGACCATTATCCAGGCAGGGTAATTCTACTCGCAGGGAATTTGCAGACATGAAATTTTCTCTCAAAAAGAACTTTAAAGCTGGGAAATAACATAAAATATCCCTTGTCCTTCAGTCCCAAGCTTTTCTTGGCGATGTTTTTCGCATTTGGCGAAAGCTTTGGTCCCTAACAGAGTTTTCACAGCACGTTTACAGAGGCTAAAAGCTTGGGACAAATATTTCGAAAAGCTTTTCAAGTTCATATTCAAGGAGTTTCATACTTATTTTTATTTTTGTTATTTTTTTTATAGATTATATCCTAAGTGACAACCTCCGTTCGGATCAACAGTTGAAACCGCTATCACCTGGCGATTCAAATGGGTAAGTGATATCAATTTTATATATTTTTTAAATTCTATTATCAATGAAATTGACAAGAATTTTGACAATCAAAGGGGATTTAGCAGAGGTTTTGTCAGATTTTAAGTAAAATTTGTCTTTACAAATTGTATTTCTATTTGTATTATGGAGTTTTTATACTCTTTAAAATATGTTCTTGGATGTTCTTTAATATATTCATAATTTTAAATCTAAAAAAAATACTCACTCTATCTATACTCTCTCCTTGATTTATCTGAATTTTTTTGTTGGCCTTGGCCTTGGCTTAATGACCATCTTTGTGATGTTACTGTCACTGAAACCCGGCTTAAATCCATCATATTCGTTGTGTTCTGGGGCTTTTGTGTGTGTGTGTGTGTGTTTTTTTTTGTTTGGTGAAACCAGAACAATATTAGGGAAAAATTGCGCCATAGGAACCTCCATGAGATGTCAACGTTTGCCCTCTAATCTCCGGCTAGGACTAGGGCTCACTTTGGTGCTCATGTTACCCCACCGAAAAACCGACGACCAGAGAAAAGCCAGCAGAAAC